CAAATACTCAATATAAGTGTATGATACATGCAATTAAAATATATTTCGGTTTTTTTTCAAGGTCATCATTTTGCAATAATATCTTGACTCTCGGTAGTTCAATTAAGCTGAATTTTAGGTAAAAAATTTCTGTAAGCTTGTCATTATCGGGTGAACGATGGAGATGGGCATACATGGACAATAGGTCTTAAAGGATAGCAATCTTTGATTTTGAGAGACGTTCAATTTTTCTTTCCTGATCTATGCGTGAAACAACATCTAGCAACACGATATGGGTGATGTGAGATGTTGCGTCGTGACAACATTGCCAGTAACTTATCTCGTGTCTATCGTCGCGTGATTTGCTCACCGGTGGTAAAACAAAGCTAGAATAATTAATTGTTGGTCCTTATCTGAATTGTCTATATATCACATTTTGACTAACTTCCGTTTCAGTAATTCGGATATAAATCATATCACGGACGCAAACCATATTACACGAACCATGTACCTTTACCAAGCGTAACGTAATTGCTGTCCATTTTGTCAGGGGCGCATCAGGATAGACATCCACTTTCGTCCAATAACCGCTCTCAGGTTTCTTTCTAGTTTAGACTAAAGTTACTCTAAGCAGAGTTTGGCCCAAAAAGAGCAACTTTTGATTGGTCCACTGTTTTATCAAATCCTACACAATATTCAATCACAATACTCCTATCGCAGTAGGTTTAGGTTACGTTAAGGAGAAATAGACAAAGAGAAAGATTGAATATATGTCCTTCTCTCTCGCAGATAGACAAAGAGAGAGATTAAAAATATTTTTTTCTTTTACAGGATTTTGATAAAACCGCAATTGTGACAAACTCTGCTCAGACTAACTCTAGTCTAAACAACTAGCAGAAGTACCCACAAAATAACCGTGATTAATACGTGAGCTTCATGTGTGTGTGTGTAAGCGCTCGCGCATGTGTGTTTGCTTATCCATCGTATGAATTCTGTGCTGCTATGTGTAAATAGCATGATTTTTTATACACGTATCAATTTATAGATGGTAAGAATTAACGGTACGTAACATCCTTACAGTTCAATTGAAAAACTAGAACAGTAGTGTTTCTTATTATTAACTATTTACAATGTTGTGAATGTTTTCTGACCTTTTATTTTCTAAAGTAGTAAAAACAGTAATAAGTAATATTTACTTTGAAAAATTATATATAAATATTAAAATTAAAATAATATTAAGTAATTATTTTTTTAGATATAAAAATATAAAAAAAAAGGTAAAAGGAAAGAGTATTTAAGAGCCACGCACATATGTAAAAGTGTAATCAATATATTACAATGTAACAAAGACTACAATATCGGTTTATGTTTCAACCTGATTTGGGTCCTTTTCAGAAAATACAATGGAAAAGAAATAAAAGTTCAAGCACAAGGGTCAACCGTTACGGAAGACCAAAACTTAAAGAAACGCACTCAAGTAAAATAAAAACCGCGAATTGGAACAAAAGTCGACATTCACATACAAACAAAAGCTATTACTCCTCTCTGTATGGTCAAACCAATAATGTAATGTGGCCAAGAACGTTTAGATAGACAATGTGGCACCAGTTAAATTGAATGCTTAATTTGAATAAAAAAAAATTTAACAAAAAAAAACAAAAAAAATTGAATAAAAAACAAAATAAGTCAAAAAGGCCCACATTTAAACACAGAGAGAGGAAAATACAAAAAGATATAAATACCTATATGCCGTTATGAAATTAAGCAACTAATGTTGGGAACAAAGTCAATATGAGGAGATATGTTTACGATACGACGATCTCGAAGCAAATAGAGTGCGTTAGAAACAAACAGCAATAATAACAACGAAGCTGTTGAAAGGCACTGTGTAGAGAGTACTAGCATCGCGGCGAGGCGTTTCCTTCAACTCCTATTTTCGGCGACAGTTTAAAACATATATAGTTTTTTTCTTATCAAAAATAGTTCAAAATTTTTTACAAAAAATGCCAACTTCACAGACGTAGGGTGTTCCGTAACTGGTACAATCAGGAAAGAGATGATTTTATATTAGGTGAAGTAAAAAGTTCTGAGCGTTTTCCGCTAAATGTCTTTAGTGAGCCATATCTCACGATGTATACATCGCATCGGGTCATACTATACAGCGATTTAAAGGTGACATTACGCTTCAAAAAAAGTTCTGTGACAGTTTTGTGTTTGATCAAGCCAGTTGTGTGTTACAGCGTTTCAAAATGGAGGTAAAAAAAGAGAAAATTCGATACATTCTTCTACCACTACGACCAAAGTGAAAAGGCGGAGCAGCCGGCCAAAAAAATTTGTGCTGTTTATGGACCCAATACAGTATCGAATGCAACAGCAAAGCGGTGGTTCCAACGATTCCGTTCTGGTAATATGGACGTCGAAGATGAGGCACGCTCTGGTAGGCCAATCGTCGAAAATGTCGATAAAATCATGGAAATCGTCGAGTCGGACCGGCATGTGAGCACTTATTCCATTGCCCAGGAACTGAAGATTAGCCAGAAAACCGTTTGGAACCATTTGCATAAGGCTGGTCTCAAGAAGAAGCTCGATGTATGGGTGCCACACGAATTGACGCAAAAGAACCTTTTGGACCGAATTGATGCCTGCGATTCTTTGCTGAAACGTAACGAAATCGACCCATTTTTGAAGCGGATGGTGACTGGTGATGAAAAATGGGTCACATACGAGAACAACAGCCGAAAAAGATCGTGGTCCAATCGCGGTGAGCCGGCCCAAACGATCGCCAAGCCCGGATTAACGGCCAAGAAGGTTTTGCTGTGTGTTTGGTGGGATTGGAAAGGAATCATCCACTATGAGCTGCTCCCATCGGGCCAAACACTCAATTCGGACCTCTACTGTCAACAACTGACCAGATTGAAGCAGGCGATCGACCAGAAGCGGCCAGAATTGGCCAATAGGAAGAGTGTTGTGTTCCATCAAGACAACGCCAGGCCGCACACATCATTAACGACGCGCCAGAAGCTCCGAGAGCTTGGATGGGAGGTTCTATTGCACCCGCCGTATAGTCCAGACTTGGCACCAAGCGATTATCACCTTTTCAAGCATTTGCAAAATTTTCTTGATGGTACAAAACTGGCCTCAAGAGAGGCTTGTGAAAATGAGCTGGTCAAGTTTTTTATCAATAGGGACGAGGACTTCTTCAATTGCGGAATTATGAAATTGCCTTCAAAATGGACAAAAGTTATCGAACAAAACGGCGCATATTTGATCGAAATCGGATAATCCTAACTATGTTAATTTCATCATCGAAATAAAGCGAAAAAACGCTCAGAACTTTTTACTTCACCTAATATAACATATGAAATAACATATGAAAAATATGTCATAAACGTAGAATGAAGTTTTTTCATATAAGGCTTTGTTTTCGAGAAAATCGACTTTAAAAATCGCTTTGTGGAATTGAAATTTTTCATCTTACTAAAATGACGATTCTCTTAAAATAAAATAAACTAAAATAACGATCTTCTTAAAATAAAAATAAACTAAACTATAAATAAAATAAACTAAAATTAAAATATTGAAGATTGTACTTAAAAAAATTGAAGATTATATTTAAAATTAAAACATTGAAGATTGAAATATACTTTCATGCAAGATATATCTGCTAAATGGAAAGAAATAAATACAAAAACTTACGTGTGTAGTTATAAGTTAAAATATATTTTGCATAGGAAAGTTTGCTAATCCTCACTGTTTCAATTTTAATCTGAGATTTATCATACATATTTCAATAAGGCGAAAAAGTAGGAACAAATACGCGTCGAATGAGTGTATTAATAGAAAAAAAAAGAAACTCCTTATGTAAAAAACTGTATAATAGGACAACAATTTTATAAGAGACTTGTACACTATCATCGAAAACAGAAATAAAATCAATTAAAATCGCCAAGTGTCTTTGATTCGTCGTTTCTTTGTTTAAATAAAATTTGATCAAAGTGAAGTATAAACTTTGATAAAATTTAAGTAAAATTTCAATAATGACGCTGAAATATCTAGATGAGAAAATTAAGTAAAACTTAACATCGGAATTCAAAAACTTGGCGTACCCGAGTTATATCTTGTACCAAAAAGATGCATTTTATCTTTTGAAAATTTATAACTTACAATCCCAATAAATAAAATACACTTTTGAGCACTATACGATGATGCTTTCCTCATCTATTACGCCTGTGACTCTTGTCGATAGACCGGCATATACTATACTATCATGCTAGGCGCTTGATTAATAGAGGAGTGTTTGGAATGAGAAGAGTAAGCGACATATAGGTCCAAAATCTGATTATGGTAAATGGATTACTTTCTTTAATACTATTATAATAATGTATCTAATATCTGAAGATTAGTAATAAAGATTTAGTCGCAGTTATAATTGAAACTTGTTATTTTCTTTTCGTTTTTAAGAGTAACTTTTAGTTCTTGGCCTTGGCGTGTTAAAATCATAGTTCTCAGTCCTAATTATCAAATATTTTTAACTTTTGTTAATAACTTTTAATAAACAAGTTAGCAACAAATGACTTTTAATTTTGTTTAAAAAACAATAATAGATTTTCATTCTCCAACATATTTCAAAATCATTGGAACTGATATAACCTATTCTTCCTGCACGAAATTATAAAATATAAATTATAAAAAATTAACAAGCGAACATTTTAATTTTGAAACAAGGACTATATCCTTGAGGATTGATGTTAACTGGTATTTTCTTCAAACTTCTTTTCTTAATAATTTTTTAATAAACAAAGAACAATGCCTAAAACCTTTTAAAAATTACTAAAAATTATAACCTTAATAACACATTTCAAAGCTATCGAAATCGATTGAGTTGGTTCTTTTCTGCACAATTACCGTACAAGACATATAAATCCAATTTATCATATTGTAATAAAGAATTTTAAATAGAACTTCATATATTTTCTACATAACTGTTCATTTTTAGCATTGTTCATTATTACCATACATACCTGAACATTTCGTAAAGTTCATTTATCTGCGTCTTAGATAATTGTATAAAATAATTTTTTATAACGTCTTTCGTCTGGACACCTCTAGTTGGATTTTTCCATTCCGGTTTGATAATGTGTCCTACATGTGCTTGTTTTATCAGATAGTCTTGGTCATCCTGTAATATAAGAACGTAATTTAAGGATAATTTTTAAAAAGTGCTTACTAAGATAAATTTTATAGGTTTAACATTTTGTAAACTGGACTTTCTTTTAAATTATAAGCACAAAGCATAAATTATTCGTGTATTACATTGTCTTTAGTACTGACGACGATGATTTTATCACTCACGTGCAATGTTTCGAATTTAGCTATCACATCAAATCGCACTTGGCAAGGTGTGCAAAAATTCACCACTGGTGTCCAATGCATATCCAGATCATTCCCCGCTTTCCATTGACACAACAGCCATCGTACGAATTCTTCGAAGACAGGATATCTTGGCCCTTGTCTGGTATTCGTCTTTGGATTCTATATTTCATTAGAAAATTAGACATTAATTTTAATAGTCCTCGCTTGGAGCTAACAATTTGTTAATTTAAATTATTACAATACGTTCAAATTTTAGTCCTTGTCTGGTATTCGTCTTTGGATTCTATATTTCATTATAAAATTAGACATTAATTTTAATAGTCCTCGCTTGGAGCCAACAATTTGTTAATTTAAATTATTACAATACGTTCAAATTTTCAAATCTGACAAGGAAAACTTTAGTAACTGTCAAGTTCTAAAAAAATTGGAAGTTTGTAAAAATGAAATACGCGCGCGCGCGCGCGTGTGTGTGTGTATGTGTACATAATACTCGTTATGTACATAATACCATTAGTTAATAATTTTCAGCTTCTTTCTCTGAGCGGGAGTTTTTATTTATAAATGGGAAAGAGAGTTGAGGGAACGTTCACTCAACCTAACCAATGTTAATCTTGATTTTTTAAGCTTTTGCGGTGTCCATGCATATTAGATTTAGTTTTCGGGTTTGAGCCGCCTGAATTCATCTTTATTTGATTCCGACGTTTCGCGAATATTTCAGTCCGCTTCATTAGGGAGGAACGACCCGATGCCATCAAACGGACTGAAATATTCGCGAAACGTCGGAATCAAACAAAGATGAATCCACGCAGCTCAAACCCAGAAACCAAATCTAAAATGTTAATCTTGTTGACATTCTTTCTTTACATAAGATAGGAACGTATTTGCTAAAAAGCTATTATACATCAGAAGCTATTATACATTATAGTATTTTCAGAATGACACAAACGGAGCTTTTGTTAAAATGTCATAGTTTTCGAATTCAAAGATAAATCTGTTTTGCATGTGTAAATAACTCTCTTTTAACTTTGATTAAGAATGCTATTACTATAGAAAATTGTTAATAATATCTTAATTGTTACTAATACCAGGTGTATACCTATGAAATGCGGATTTTCCTAATACATGGTGCCACACATACGTTCTTACGCGTAGTGATTTGACATATATAGTATTTTATTTGGCTATTCCTAACCTACAAAACCATACATGTGGAAAATTGTGAGAGTGTAAATATCATAGTCTTTTTCTGCTTTGAAAATGTCGAATTTTGTACCAAAAAAGACCATTTGCGGGAGGTTTTGATTCATTACTTCATTTTGAAGAAAATCGCTGTTCAAATTTATCGAATACTTGTAGAAGCTTACGGCGAACATGCACCATCTCAAGACACTTGTGAACACTTGGTTCAATCGATTCAAAACTGGTGATTTTGATGTGAAAAACAAGGCTAAGGGAAAACCACTGAAAAAATTTGAAGATGCAGTATTGCAAGCATTGTTGGACGAAGACTCCACTCAAACTCAATCACAATTGGCGGAAGTATTAAATGTGACTCAAAAAGGTGTTAGCGAGCGTTTACACGCAATGGGAAAGATTCAAAAAGAAGGAAAATGGGTACCACACGATTTGACTGAAAGACAGATGGAGAATCGAAAAGTCACTAGCGAACTCCTGCTGAAAAGACATCAACGGAAGAGTTTTCTGTATTGAATCATCACAGGTGATAAAAAAATAGATATATTTCGAGAATCCCAAACGAAGAAAATCATGGGTTGATCCAGGCCAACATCGACTGCAAGACCAAATCGCTTCGGAAAGAAGACAATGTTCTGTGTTTGGTGGGATCAAAAGAGTGTTATTTATTATGAACTTCTCAAATCTGGTGAAACGGTTAATGCTGCTCGCTACCGATAACAAATGATTAATTTGAACCATGCATTGATCACAAAACGTTCGGAATGGACCCAAAGACATGGAAAAATGATTTTGCTACATGACAATGCGCCAGCCCACATCACAAAAGTTGTCAAGGAAACTTTAAGAGAATTGAATTGAGATGTGCTACCTCACCCGCCGTATTCGCCGGACATTGCTCCTTCGGACTATCACTTATTCCGGTCGATGGCGCACGGATTGGCTGAGCAGCACTTCGCTAATTTCGAAGAAGTGAAAAAATGGATCGATTCATGGTTTGCTTCGAAATATGAAAGTTTCTATCGTCGCGGAATCCATCTTTTGCCAAAAAGATGGGAAAAAGTTGTAGCGCATACTTCAAATAAATAGCTTTAACCATTCACTTCAAATTAACATGTATTTTTCCTTTAAAAAATCTGCATTTCATAGGTATACACTTGGTAATGTTACCTTTGCTCTGTAATGCCAAACTATATGTGCACCAAGATTGCTGTGAAACGTGTGCGGTAGACTGTGTTCCAATTTGTCCCGGTAGGCACTTAGCAATCTTTCGAATGGATGTCGCACTATCAAGAAACTAATACTGTCGTTCAGAAATTTAGTTAATTCCTCCGCAGTGTGTCTAGGATACCTCTGTCTAGCCAACGAAACCGGCACTGCCTTTGAAGCTTTCAGGAATTGCGGACTATATCTGCAATGTTAGCGCTATCGCAATTATTTATCGACTTGATTGTTTGCAATCAGGTCCAGTTAATTCAGTTAATTTAATCCAGCATTTCTCTCTTTCGGATATATAACGATATGTAAAGATAATAGAAATAGAGGTTAGATAATAGAAATAGAGAATTTGGCAAATTTTAGGAATAACAGTTTTATTTATAGTACTATTTTTATCTCTTTCTTTTTCTTAACTTCTGTATCTTAATAATTATATTTTGTAGTTTATAACATATAGAGAAAATATATAGAACATATATATAACATATAGAAAACGTATAGAAAACATATTAATATGTTGCATTCTATTTTCATTATTCTTATTTTTGCCGCTTAAGAACTCATTTGTAAGTAATATAAATAATGATGGGACTTACCCTGCGAGTAAATTGAAATTATACATCCACGACGTGGAAGCCGCTTTGAAAACATTACACCATATAAGGTGATATTCTTTATTTACAAGGAACTCCCAGGCATTTGGCCTGTGAAGTGAATCGTTACCAGGACGATCGAGTCCTTCTTCGGCGCATTTTTCCGCCAGGAATTTCCGTCTAACTATTAAACGTTGCTCGGTTTCCGCTGCAGCGATCTGCTCCAATATTTTCTCTTCTGGTGTTAAATTCGCGTCCTATTAAAATATATGAAAGGTTTATTTGTAAAACAAAACTGACGGAGAAAAAGCAATTTTGTCACAACAATTATACATGAACGATGCGTTATATCTCACAACAATGTTTTTGGCGGTACAATTTCGACGATATTTAAAATCCGTTTAACGATATCATTGTTTCTTATACATTTTTTTCAAAATTTGAAAATCGTAGAGTTTTAGAATATCACGTAAAATCATGGATGTAGGAATATAAGGATAGAGCGTAAGCTGAGTTTATGAGCAAGGGGGGTGAAGCCGATTTGAGGGATGAGATATCTCTAAAACTGCCTGAATTTGATTGGTTGAGTTGTACTCATGCGCAGTACCGCCAATTATAAACGAAGTATTAAGAACATGAACATATAATTCAGAATAATACGTGAAAAATTAATAATAATATAATGGGTAGGAGGCGATTCTATGCAAAAATAAGTAAAAAAAGAATATTTTTTTATTGCAGCTTCGTTTTCGAAAAAATCAAAGTTAAAAATTTGTCGAGTAAAGATCTTACTCTTGGCAATGCATTCCGCTTAATTGTACATATACACATAGAGCCACTGTTAGTAAATGAGTAAATACTGTTAGTAATCTTTGTTAAAGTGCAGAGAGCAAACGCGGGATGAATTCGATATTGATTTAATATGTAATATATCAAGCCAAAATTTATGAAGCATATTATCTTTTGGAATACTGTGAAGAATATTTAAAAACAGTTTTTCATTAACAGTTCATAATCATTAAAAGGTTATCTTAACTATAAAATGTGATTTTTTTTTACTTTACTTTTTCCCAATTTTGGCAGTCCGATCTGCTTTTGCAAAAAAGAACACAACATTGCACCATTACTCCAACGATTTATTAACAATAAACAATAAGACAATATTTGCTAACCTCCTCACACGTACTCAGACGTTAGTGGACGCTAACATGTGGTTTGTTTTTTTCAATTGCACTGCTACACTGGTGCAATAAATTCAAGTGAAATAAAATATATTTGTCTCATTCTAACTTATTGCACCAGTACAATAGTGTAGCTGGAAAGAACAAACCTATGGATGCAAAGACGGTACTATTACGCTTGCGCATAGTAAAAACCAATCAAAACCAGGCACAGTTTTTACCTCGTCCCCCTCTCTCTGTGGCTTCACCCCTCCGAGATTACACTCCATCCTTATATTCCTACATCAATGCGTAAAACCATCACTGTCACTATTATCAACGGTTACTTTGACTTAAATTCATAGTTAACAAGCATGCACTATATGAGAGACTGTTTTAATAGACTATGAAATGAATCGCTGTTATATAAAGGAAATCGAGTATGGTTGTCACATTTTTTACTGAATAAGAAAAAAGATGTGTGCAATATTTGTTAATATTGTACACATTTTCAAATAGATATTGAGTGTACAACTTAATTCGGTCCGTTTTTTTGTTTGAAAAACGCATTTATTTGAATGATAAAATGAATTAATACATTATTGAAAGTATTGTCCATCGCTAGCCACTACTTTTTCCCATCTTTCGGGCAATTTATGGATTCCGTCGCGGAAGAAGCGTTCATCTTTTGAAGCCAAGAATGAATCGAGCCAATTTTTGATACCCTGTTCTGAAGTGAAGTGTATTCCAGTCAAAGCGTTCTGTATCGATCGAAACAAATGGTAGTCGGAAGGGGCAAGGTCTGGGCTATAAGGCGGGTGAGCCAGAACTTCCCATCCGCTATTTTCCAAATAGTTTTTAACCGGAACAGCAACATGAGGCCGAGCGTTGTCATGGTGAAAGATTATGGACTCGTGTCTGGTCGCATATTCTGGACGTTTTTCGGCTATAGCTCGCTTTAAACGGATCAATTGTCGCCTGTAGAAGTCTCCCGTGATGGTTTGACCAGGTTTTAGCAGCTCATAGTGGATCACACCCTTCTGATCCCACCAAATACAGAGCATTACCTTGGCATCATGGATATTCGGCTTCGGCGTTGATGTTCCCGGTTGGCCGGGCTTTACATACGATTTTTTGCGTTTCGGGTTGTCGTAGTGAATCCATTTTTCGTCCCCGGTAATGATTCGATGCAGAAAAGACTTCTTTTTGTACCGTTCAAGCAACATTTCGGACATGCAAAATCGTCGTTCGATATCTCTCGGTTTCAATTCGTATGGGACCCAATTTCCTTGCTTTTGGATGTATCCCGCGGCTTTGAGTCGTTTCGAAATAGCTTGTTGAGTAACTTCCAATGTTCTTGCGAGCTCTTTTTGCGTTTGACACGAATCTTGATCGAGTAATGTTTCTAATTCTTCATCTTCAAACTTTTTCGGTTGACCCGAACGCTCTTTGTCTTCAACACTAAAATCACCACTTTGAAATCGTCGAAACCATTCTCTGCAAGATTTATCCGACGGTGCAGATTCACCATAAACTTCCACAAGCATTCGATGCGCTTCAGCTGCACTTTTCTTCCAATTGAAACAGAAAATCAAAACTTCCCGCAAATGGTGCTTATTTGGAACGAAACTCGACATTTTCAACGCAGTAAAAATTAAACTTGTGCAAAACTCAAAGGCTTGTAAACAATATTTGGTTGACAGATGTTAACACTTCACGATACAGCAAAAATCAGCTGTCGCCGTCAACCATTTATAGCACCTAGAGCCATCTTTTGAAAACGGACCGAACTAAGTTGTACACCCAATACAATCTTGATGAAAGAGAAAAAATATCCTTATATATATTATATATATTATATATATTTATATATCAAAATATTGTTGTAAGCAAAGTCGTGCTAGTATGACTATTCACCCTTTACCTAAGATTAGTTGTCATATGTCTTTTATGTAAAGAAAATGAGACAAATTATTTCTGTTTTAAGGTTTTAAATATTTTATTAAAGTTAGTAATACTTTATAATCCATAAGGTGCAATAAACAATCATTGAACTAAGAAGATAATAATTCTCATAAACTTTGTAATAATAGCTTTCAGATCTCTCTGTAGAACATTACATAGACTGTTATATATATAATATGTATAACATAATATATCATTATGTATACTTACATGCTTTTATGTCACGTGATAGCTACGTGACGGACTCACGTAGCTATCACGTGTGACAACTAATCTCACTTAATTTGACAAGGAGATGACGCCAACTTAAAAATTGATTTCGGAACGAGGCATAGCGCGTTCGATAGCCGTAATATAAAGTATCAAAACCCTAAAAGGATTTGGGTGGACCTTCGTTTTCGAAGTATTGCGATGCAAAGTTAGAATCTCAGAGCCGTACCCCATATAAGGCATAACGTGACATTTTCACCGAAGCGGCGTAGCTGAGCGGACTAAGACTCTTGCGCCGGTCCTTTTTGCGCCCGCGGCGAACATTCGAGTCCGGCCGACGAGGCAACGGCGTGCAATGTTTTTTTTTTTTTTTTCGTATTGTCGGACATACAGGGTGAATATTATATACCGGAACACCTGAATATCTCGAAAACAAAGCGTTGTATAAAAAAATGTTAAATACAAAAGTTGTAGGGTTTAAAAAGATCTATTTTATGATATTAGCAGTTTGACCTTGAGTTGCGTCATAAAGATCAGGTCAAGGTCACAATGATGTTTTTAAATGGATACCCCCATTTTTTATTGTATATTCTTGTAGCTTATCTCGAGAGCTTTCCAAAACACTATACTTAAGTATTTTTTCGTCAAGTACTTTTCGAGTTAAGAGGG